AAACAATCTGACTGCTGACCGAGTCAGTGCCTAATAAACAACCCTTAACTATCGAATCATATAGTGATGAAATGGAAGTGCGGAAAGATTTCTCAAAATCTTTCAATTTAAAACTATTTTTTTTACCATTTATCTTTGTTAAACTTTATGGTTTTATAAGAAAAAAATCTAAAAAAAACAATAGACTTTGGTGTTTGAAACGATTAAAACCTGTTAAATAATTTATTAGACTTTCTAAAACTTGTTAGATACATTCTTATAACCTATAAAACTGGTTAATGTGAAAAAATAATGAAAAAAAACCAATTGACTTTTATATTTTAAATGATTAAGCTCCTAAACATTTTTTGAACAAAAAAGTACTTACATCTATAAAATGAAATAAATATATCAAAAAAAAATACTTACATTTAAAAAGATTACTTAAAAAAAAACAAGTAATCCATGCATATATACCAACGAACAATAGTGACAAATTTTAATTAATTATGTATTTAACTAAAGTTTATCGTTAATTCATTAGTAATTTAATCAAATTATTTTTTATTTTTTTTAATTTAGAAAATCACCAACGGAATAATTTTATTTTTAAGTAATATTTTTTTAAATATAATTATTTTTTTGTAAATATAAGTACTTTTTTAATGTATGTTTTATTTTATAGATATAAGTATCTTTTTGGTTAAAAAAATGTTTAAGTACTTAATCGTTCAATATGAAAGTCTATTGGTCTTTTTTCATTATTTTTTCACATTAAACAGTTTTATAGATCATAAGAATGTATCTAATAGATTTTAGAAAATTTAAGAAATTATTTAACATGTTTTAAAATGTTCTAAAACTTATTTATTTTAAAAAATTGTTAAAAAACTTAATCATTTCAATTTAAATTTTTTTCATTTACAATCATATCTCTTAATTAATGTTCTTATCTCTTGTTAACGCATATTCCAATCTAATCATTATCCGTATCTTCTTATTTGTTTCGATTTTTATGTAATAAAAAGATTATGGAAAACAAAATAAAAATTGAAACGGAATTATTACTGTTGCCCGATACCGACTTAAAACTTATGTTTTTTTTTAAAAAGTGCTTATTAATTTATATGATATTAAATCGAAGTTTAAATAAATTAAAGTTAAAATTATAAATTGATAATAAATAATTTTTTATAAGTTATAACGAATCATTTTATCAAAAACAGATTATTATCGATTTGATACCGGTATAATTTTTTTTTTCCTTGTCCAAATACTAGTAAACAGTTTATCACCGTACCAAAATTCAAATAAGTTAAAAAAGCAATAAGCAATCCCAAACATCATCACGTCGACGAGGATCATGCAAACCCCGAGAATTAGAGGTTTTTAGGTTTTCTTCATCTCCTTTGGCGGTGATATAGAATTACCTCTGTTCATCAACATTTTCTCTGTTCTGTGCCTCGTTATTGGCGTTTTTCTTCATTGTAATTCTGCAGTAGTACAAGTCCTGTAGTTGAGGAATGAGGATTGATGCTATAAAGAACATTCCAGCGTTAGGATTTCTTCATTACTGATTTCCTATCCGCTTCCTCCGTGGTGGTGTTCTGTAATGTGGAATTTTTTTGCAGAAAGTAGCGGCTGATCGCTGATGTTGCGTGCAGATCCTCATATGGCTAATTAAAAGCACAATGCTCGAGAGTTCTCACACGGGCTGGAATTGACCATTCCTGCTTATTATGTTGTTTGCTGTCCATCGTGGTGCTCTCATTAATTTCTCCTCCTGATCTTCACGAGTAAGTCTTTTATTGGTCCTCTCTTTGGCAGGTAGTGGTATCGTGACATTTTTTATATGATCGGCATGATAGTAATTTTGCGTTTTGTGTCATGATTTCTTGAATTCAACTTGTTTGGCAATGGAATCACCTATGAGGTTCTGCAATTCCCATTTCTTTTGTTGATTTTAATCTCAAGTTTCATGTTTTGGTTGTCTTCATCATGTTTGTTATATGGATTTCTTTAATCTCCATTGAAACGAGCTTTTAAGGTACATGTCGAGACATTGCGTACAAAATGACTTGACCAATAGCCAGATTTCCCCTCTAAGTCTATCAAAAGGATGTGCTCTGGTATAACTTTTGGTTTTTGTTTATTTTATTTCATGGGCTGGTCTTTAAATGTACTTTGTTGTGGGTTTGGAATAAAGAGATATTGGTGTAACTTACATTTGCATATTTACTCCTCTTGAGAAATGTTGGTAAAATTCTGATATTTCAGGACCTGAGGATCAGCATAATCTGGGTAGTTATGGGAAATTAATTGGAAGGCTGTGTTTACTTATACCAGTAATTAGCTGCAGCGTATGTTATATCTACTTGTAGTTCCAATCGAGAAAGGAATTGTGTATTTGATCTTTATCTCCATTAACTCGTCTCGATCTTTGGATCACATGCAGTTGACTGCTAGGCCGGATGATGGTTTGTTTTGCACTTTGTGGAGGTGTCTTCATTCTTAACTCATGTGTTTGTGGTCAAAGTTGGCTTTTTTTCCATGGTTGTAATGGTGGAGAAATGAATGTATATTTATTTGAATGCAGTTCTTGCCAAGCCCATGCATGGTGGTAAACTGCAATGTTGGTAAATGGCAAGCGAGCTGGTTTGTCGTTTCTGTTCAAAATCTCAAAACATATTCATGTAGATCCTTTTTGTCTAATAGTTCTTTTTAGTTGTTTTTGGTTGCATCACTTGGCCAAGTGGACCGGGAGGTTGGGCTCTGTTTACGGTTGTGATCTACTTGTCTGAGAAGAAAGAAGGAGCGGTGGTTGATAGTGAAGAGAGGGAAGGTGAGGTCGCAGGGGTTGTGATCAGCTTTTTGGTCATCTACCCTCAAACATATGTTCCACTCAACCCCATCTCCAAAGACTAGAATTCGCCTACAATCACTTCAGTGGAATCTTTTCCACCTTCGATATCAAATTGTTCAGAGTTGGAAACATTTGATGTTTCTAATAACGATTTTTGAGGGGTATTGATTTTGGAGAACTCTGATATCTTAGGTGGTTATCACGGAGCAGAAATAATTTTGAAACCAAGCTCTTTGGTGGCTTGAAACATTTTGATTCTTTGTCCAATTGCAGCAATTTGGGAGCACCACAAATGGAGGGTGTCCAAGGAGCTGTCGAATTCGCTTGGGAACTTAACAAAACTGACTATCCTCATATCTTCTCCCACTTGAAAACAAAGCTAAAGATAAACTAGGATCCTTATGGATGAACATCTAGGTTTCCATGACCTATAAATAATGGAGATCAAGTCCCTATTGCCTACACTTATTATGCATTGGGTTCAGCCCCATTTGAAGCAAACCAAATAGACGACTTTTGATGCATACATGAGGATGACCGGTCCATGGATTAGCAAAGCCACTTCTTCTTTGTCCTGTATCTGTAGCTGCTTCTTCTGCATCAATCAATTTCGCTACACCCAACTGAGTGCTCCAGGTTAGTTTTATTAAACTCTATTACGGTATCATGTTGAAACTATTTCTGACATGTGTTTATGTTCCTATGCTTTCATCTTTGTTATTATATGCTTAAGTAAAATTCATATATTGTTAACACCTTCATCTATAGGCAATTTGGTTAGCCTAAGTAGATTTTCTCCAGTGGATAATAACTTCACAAGCATGATTCCTAAATGCTTTGGCAGGCTTAGAAACTTGGGAGAATATGCTAACAATTTCTCTGGGATTTTTTTTTAGATCTATAGGAAACCTGCCATCTTTAACCAAAGTGCATCAAAGTAGAAATTTTTTTGAAGGCACTATACCCTCGACTATTGGGAAATGCAAAAAGTTGATGCTTGTATCATTTTGTGAAAATAACCTTGAAGGAAGTGTACCCAAAGAACTTTCCCAACTCTCTTCGCTTTCAGTCATGCTATATCTTAGTTGAAACAATCTCTCGGGAGTGCTTCCACAAAAGATAGGCAACCTGAGAAACTTAGGATCACTTAATTTGTCCGAGAATCATTTATCAGGTCAACTTCCAACTTCCAATTAGTATCAGCGGCTGCATCAGCCTTGAACTCCTAGAACTTTCTGGCAATTTCTTTCATGGATCTTTGCCAGTAGCATTGAATTCTTTGAGAGGAAACAGAAAGCTCTCTCTTTGAGTTGTTGTGGCGATTTCACTGTCATCTACCTTCGCAGGTCTGGCTTGGTGTCATTCGTCTTGTTCCATTATTGCTATTGAGAACATTGACATACAGCTTAAGCTATTGCATTTTACAGTTAAGGCAATGACCTGGTAAAATCATGGAGGAACAAACTTTTGCACTAGCAAATGACATGTGTGACTTGGGAAAAAAAGTATTAGTATACCAAGACAATACAGAGTTAAAGACCACTCCTAGTTACAGTACAACGTTACACATGCATATGCATATCCAATTTACATTCATCTGAATTTCCTAACTGAATATAGGTACCATACATCCTATCCTAAACGAAATCAAATGCTCAACTTGCCATCAGCCTCTTCCAGTTAAGAAAGTTTACAATTTGCTTTTGAAATAGCTTGAAAGATTATCTGGTACATTTCTTAGTAATCATTCTCTTCTTTATGTCATATATGCTTCATGTCTAGCCCCTTGTCATATATGAATTGTTTTATAGTAGTTGATACCTACCCTTGCCGTGCTTTTTGGGTTTAGACTTAAAAATGGAATATAAAAAACTAACCGTTTATATAGATACCGTCAATCATTTCAAAATCGAACAGACCAGGACCAGTGGAATATTATACTCAAAATCTTTAGAATTCCTTTTCGCAACAGGTGTTTGAATGATTATTATATTACTTCATTTTGATTTATGGTACTTGATACCTATCTCTATAAATAGATAACTTTATAGTTTTTCTTTCTATCAAGCTCCCTCACTTTAAATCTAAAACAGTAGCAATTATGAGCTCATCATTCTTCTGGAAAGCATTCGTCTTGTTTCTTGCTCTTGTAATACAAATGAATGGAGTTGTCTCTAGTTCTAATGCCGATACAGATCGTCTTGCATTACTGGCAATTCAATCCAAGATTACAGAGGACCCTCAAGGTGTTTTCAGATCTTGGAATGACTCTCTTCCTCTATGCCAATGGGAAGGAGTAACATGCGGTCGACGACACCAAAGAGTCACAACCTTGGATCTATCGGGAAAGGGTTTGGTTGGTTCTTTATCTCCTTATGTAGGCAATCTGAGCTTCCTCAGGTACATGAACTTTAGTAACAACCAACTTCATGGAAGTATCCCTCCTGAAATAGGCCGTTTATCACGATTACAATTGTTATCCCTTCCCCGAAATTCACTCACGGGAGAAATCCCGGTAAACATATCAAGTTGCTCAAAACTACAGCACATTGACTTGTCTACCAATATGCTATCAGGGAAAATTCCAACGTCTTTTAGTTCTATGTTGACGATCAAAAGTTTAAGCTTGGGTGAAAATAAATTAACGGGTGGGATTCCACCATCCATTGGCAATCTCACTTCCCTCCAACAACTCGTTCTTTCCTTATGTCCGTTAGGAGGAAGCATTCCAGAATCCTTCAATCGGTTGAACAACTTGCAACTATTAAGCCTTGGAGGAAATGACCTTGTTGGACCCTTTCCCTTGTTCATCTTTAACCTTTCCAAGTTAGAACTTCTAAAATTTCCAGGAAATCAACTTGTTGGCCGTCTACCCTCGAACTTATGTTCAAGTCAGCCCCATCTCCAGACACTAGAATTCGAGTTCAATCACTTCAGTGGAATACTTCCACCCTCGATATCAAATTGTTCAGAGTTGGAATCGTTTGATGTTTCTAATAACGATTTTGAGGGGGAAATAGATATCGAGTTTGGAAAACTCCAATATCTTAGGTGGTTATCTATCGGTCTAAATAATTTTGAAACCGAGCATCTTGGTGGCATGAAGTATTTTGATTCATTGTCCAATTGCAGCAATCTGGAATTAATGCAAATTGCGGCAGTCCAATTAAGAAGGCAGCTACCGAATTCTTTTGGGAACTTAACCAAACTGAATTTCCTGGTACTTCCATCAAGCTATATCTCAGGCAGCCTCCCTTCATCTATAGGCAATTTGGTTAGTCTAAGTATACTTTCTTTATCGGGAAATAACTTCACAGGCATGATTCCGGAAAATATTGGCATGCTTGGAACCTTGGGAGAACTGCATCTGGATATTAACAGTTTCTCTGGTATAATTCCTAGATCTATAGGAAACCTGTCATCTTTAACCAAAATGTATTTAGGTGGAAACAAATTGGAAGGTGCTATCCCCTCCACTATCGGGAAATGCAAAATCCTGATACTTCTATCACTTCGTGATAATAACCTCAGAGGAAGTGTACCCAAAGAACTATTCCAACTGTCTTCACTTTCAATCAGACTTGATCTGAGTCGAAACAATTTGTCTGGAGTGCTTCCACAAGAGATAAGCAACCTGAAACACTTGGGATCACTTTATTTCTCTGACAATCATTTATCCGGTGAACTTCCAAGCAGTATTAGCAGATGCATCAGCCTTGAACTCTTAGATGTTTCAGGCAATAGATTTCATGGATCGATGCCAGTATCATTGAGTTCTTTGAGAGCCCTCCAATATGTTGATGTGTCAGGAAATAACTTTTCTGGGCATATTCCAACATATTTGCAAGAAATTCCTTTGAAGTTACTAAATCTTTCAGATAATAATTTTGAAGGAGAAGTAGCTGTTAAAGGTGTCTTTGCCAATGCAAGTGCACTTTCAGTCAGTGGGAACCCTAGACTTTGTGGGGGAATACCTGAGCTTCACCTACCCATATGCAGAACTAAAAGAAGTAGAAAGCTCTCTCTTCGTGTTGTTGTGGCGATTTCATTATCATCCACTGTTGCCGGTCTGGGTCTGGTGTCATTTGTGTTGTTCTATTGCTGTATAAAGAAGAGAAGTAAACCATCAGAATCAACATTGACCGAATCTTTTAAGAAGATTTCGTATGGAAGGCTTTTCAAAGCGACCGCAGGGTTCTCTGCAGCAAATCTGATTGGTACAGGCGGTTTTGGTTCAGTTTATAAAGGAGTTCTTGATGAAAATGATCTGACGGTGGCTATCAAAGTACTAAACCTCCAACGCCGAGGAGGTTCCAGGAGTTTTATGGCTGAATGTGAAGCCTTGAGAAATATTCGTCATCGCAATCTGGTGAAGGTTATAACTTCTTGCTCAAGTCTCGATTTCCAAGGAAATGATTTCAAGGCCTTAGTATACGATTTCATGCCAAATGGGAGTCTGGAGACTTGGTTGCACTCAAGCACGACACTAGACCATTTGCCTCACGATCAGTTGCATCAACTTGATCTTGTTCAAAGAATAAGCATTGCCAAAGATGTGGCTTATGCTCTTGATTATCCACATTATCGTTGTGGAAATGTTGTTGTTCATCGTGATTTGAAGCCAAGCAACATTTTATTGGATGCCGACATGGTTGCTCATGTTGGAGATTTCGGGCTCGCAAAAATCCTTTCCCTTGATGAACTTTCTGATGCAAACAAGAGTAGCTCAAGTCATGTCAGAGGAACCATTGGATATGCACCACCAGGTAAATTTCTGTTTTCTTTTTGTTATTGTGTCTCCATTTCATTATACATATAATTCTACATGAGTTGCAGAATATGGAGTGGGAAATGAAGTGTCGCCCAGTGGAGACATATATAGCTACGGGATCCTATTGTTAGAGATGTTGACAGGGAAAAGACCTGTTGATCCAATGTTCCGAGAAGGCCTTAGCCTGCATTCCTATGCTACAAGTGCCTTGGCTGGTGGTTGTGTGCTTCAGATTGTGGATCCAATGCTTCTACATGATGTGAAAGAAATGTGTTTGATTTCATTGCTGAAGATTGGAGTGCATTGCTCTTTTGAATCTCCACAAGATCGAATGGATATTGGTACCGTTATCCATGAGCTCCTTTCATTAACGGTTACGGCTAGTTCTTCATTCATGGAACTTCCGACCTCGACCCAAAAAGCTGGTTTGTGATTGTGTTATAATCTAGAAGATTGAATCTGTGAACATGCTTATATTCATGTAAATCTGTGTTTGAATCAGATGAACCTTTTTTCTTATCTTTATGATGATATTTAGTAGTATGTTTTAAGGGATATGGTTTTCTTGATGAAAGTTTACATCTAGAGCCATGACGCTCTTGCGTATTCATATCAATAAATATTGATCAAGAACATTTCGTTATATCCATAATTGACCATCAAGTCATCAATTACCTTATCATATAACATTCTTGACCATCAACATGGATTGTTGGTAAACGTTTTTTACCAGGTAAACGTTTACTGGTTAAGAGTTTTGTCTCTCACTTATTGGATAAGATCCTTTTACCTGGTAAGATTCTCAGTTTTTGCCATGTTAATCTGGTAAGATAAATGACACCCATCAGCCATGCGGATGTGGTAAGATAAGTGACCCATTAAGCACTTGCACCATAAACGTTTGATAAACATGCCTCTTAATCTGCACATTTTTTAGCAAAGGAAGTTTCTAGAAAAATGTCATGGATTGAATTGGTACCGACTGCCATTAATTTGATCTTCTAACAGGAAAATCTTCAAACCACCTAAAATGCATCTTTCCAACAAAACATATTGAAACAAAAATGTCTTTTTCCAATCACAGTAAAAGATTAAACAACAAATATTCTAAGAAGGAAATTCAGTTATTCGGTATAAACTAACGGCCAAGGTATGAAGGAAAATTGGCACCCAAAGACCCAACTCCAGATTGTTGCCGAGCTGCCGGTGCTGCTGATGTTGTGCCAGCAGAAGAACGACCCACCTGAGAATTTTGGTATTCCCCCAGACTAGGTGACCCGAGTTGGGAACCATAACTGGCAATCATGCTTGGGCTCACTGTGTTGATCCCGTAACCACCACTGATGCCGAATGACTGTGGTGTTGGAGTTATACTATTCTGATTCAAAGCAGAAACCAACATTGGATTTTGGCCGACCATAATTCCGGCTACTGGATTCATAAGCTGAGGAGCATACAGTGCGCCATAACCATAAGCCAGATTCGCAATGTCACTTTGCTGAAGGTTTCCAGGACCAGTAGGTGTAACCAATGGGAAATTTTTGATATTTCTGTTTGCACGTTGACCATCCACCGCTTGTCTGCACTGCAATTGACAACCGTCAAAAACCTTATTGGGTTCCTCCAAAGCCTTCTTGCACCCTTCGGCTGTCTTGTATACGAACATTGCAAACCCTTTGAACTTTCCAGTTGCATTGTCGATCCCCAATGGGCCTTCCTCAATTTCTCCAAACTTGGCAAAGTGGGACCGAAGGGCGTTTGGATTCACATGGGAAGCGACATTTGCAACAAAGATCTTTCGTCCGGTTGGATCTGCTTTAACAGTTGGCTGGTTGTTATTGGGTCCAGCTGGCCCTGCAGAAGCTAACTGGCAAGAGGCCATGCGACTTCCTATCTTCTTCTGAGTCTTTTTGAGGGCTTTTTTTGCACTTTTTCGGGTCTTGAAGAGAACAAAGCCGTATCCTTTGGCCTTCCCGGTTACCTTATCTGTTACAACTTTGCATTCTTCAATGTCACCATATTGTTTGAAGACGGAACGTACTTGGTCAGAGGTGGCATCCCAGCCAAGGCCGTAGACAAAGATCTTACGGTGAGCAGGGTCCACCTCAGCAGTTTCGGTGAGGCTAGCCACTATTGAATGGTCATTCAGGGCTGCTTCTTTCAGGAACTCAACAATCTTATCTTTCGGCAAGGGATCTAAAAGCTTCCTAAGTGTCTCCTTTTTAGAACTCTCGTCACCTTCTTCTTCTTCTTCTTCTTCCTCCTCCTCCTCCTCTTCCTCTTCCTTTTCCTCTTCCACTTCTTCTTCTTCCTCATCCTCATCCTCTTCTTCTTCCTCGTCCTCTTCAATTTCTTCTTCATCACCCTCTTTTACTTCTTCAGACTCAGATTCTTCAATTTCTTGTGTTTCTTCTTCGCCTGATTCTTCCTCCTCAGATGTCTCATGTTTAACCATTACCTTGGGTTTCTTTTCCTCCGCTTGTACTTTGAGTGCTGCTGATGTTCTCTTCTTCCCCATTTGACAGGCACCACTCTTAATCAGACCCGAAAGAAGACAACAGTTACCTAAAAAAGAAAATTCATAATGCTTGCAGTCAATATTAAATAAACAAGAAATTAAAATATATCACCCAATTGACAAAAACTTTATTGGAAAATGCATCGAACTTTGACTATAGTCTATATAATTACATGCATCAAGTCCCATGTAATTAAACCCTTTTAGAAGTAAATATAAGCATAATTCTTTGACAAAAATGGTAAGTAGTTTCTACATATATAAATTCAGCAGTGCAAATAACTTTATGCATCATTTCCTTTTATAATTTACAATAATAAATACAGAAAATAGATCATGTCGACAGACGAAAAGTTCAGGGAGAAACATCAACTTTTGTCACTTGCAAAATGACATCTTTAGTAAGCTAACATAGAGCTATACTTCTGGACTAGAATTTTGCTATTGAAAACACTGACATGCAGCTTAAGGTATGGCATTTTACAGTTAAATGCAATACTTTTATAAAATCGAGGAGGAACAAACTTTTGCACAAGCAAAATGGCATGTGTGGCTTGGAAAAAAGTATTAGTATACAAGAGAATACAGAGTTAAAGACCATATGCTAACCAATTTACATCCATCTGAATTTCATAACTGAGTATATGTACCATACATCCTATCCCAAACGAAGTCACCTTCTCAACTTGCCATCAGCCTATTCCACTTAAGAAAGTGAACAACTTGCTTCTGAAATAGCTTGAAAAATTATCTGCTACATTTCTTAGTTATTATTCTCTTCTTTGTGTCATATATGCTTCATGTCTAGCCCCTTGACATTTAAGGAACAGACAGTTATGGATCCATTACAAGTGTTGTCTTAACTGATTCCATAAGCCTTTGTACATTGCAGGTATATATAACTAAAGGTGAAGGAGCCACGATATTGAATCATGATTCCAAAACTAGGAGGCCCATTAACTCCTTAAGTAGATCTACACTTCATAAAAGATATTCAGACTTTCATGATAACAGGTACTTCAATGGTCTTTGTTTACTTGGTGACACATAATTCATGGAGTTTCTGGGACTTCATTTAGTTGTCAAAATTGTAGGATTCACAATTCAAATCTTACTATCTGATTTGAATTGAAAGATGATATCCCATTAGTGTATCAAAATCCTTTCCCACAGCAGTGAATCAACATTATATTGGTGAACCAAATCATATTATATGATTCTATTAAATTAACCCTATATATCTTACCTTAATTTTGTGGATTTGTGTGGAGAGCTTATTACATAACTTATTGCACCTACATGAATCAAATACTGTTTTTGTTGTTATTTGGTGAAGCCATTACAATTGGCTAATGGGACAATATCATTTTCTCCTAATTACTATAAGAATATTTGTGTTTCATATTCTTACACACATTGATTCCAAATCGAATTCATGAACAACTATGCCCAAGATAATGTCAGTAGTTATGAAATTTCATTGCTGGAAGTCTGGAACTGTATGTGAGAAGAAGCCCACAAGATAACTTATTTATGATGAATTCCAATTTTATGGCTTCACCAACATTTACCTATGAAAGTGATACCAAGTATTTACACAAAATTGCCGTTGCTACTGCAATTACATGATGAAAAAGGGCAGGAGAAAAGGAATTTCGTTAACAAGAAATCAAGCAGAACCATAAGAAAGGATCACATGTAGGAATTTTCTGTCTGTCAATATCAAGCCTCCAAACAGGGAGAACGCAGTCCAAGAAAGGGATTTGCTATACCAAGAAAAAGAACATCGCATAAATTTACTAATGTGTAAAGTTCTTGGCAATGTGCTCTTCAACGTCACAGGTGGTTACGTTGCGAAGAGCTGACATAAGAAGCCATGCCAATATTTGGGATCATGAAGTTTAAGCAACATGATGCCCTTTTATGAAAGAATTTTACATAATGTCATGATTTTTAAATTATTCTATCTTCTTCCCCCATTACTTTTTCCTTCTCCACCCCCTTTTTGCTTATTCCATCTACTTTCTATTTCTTCTTCCGAAAATCACAAGGAATAACAAATTACATAAAGCTTCAAGATGTTTGCTTTATACCTTTTCCTGCAATCTCCTTGGAACCAGAAATACAAATTCAAATAAAAGATCCCAGTTATAAGGAAGAGAGAATGATACTTGTAATAAGGTGTGCATCTTCATACATGATCCAGCCCCACATTTCGATTACCCTAAAGCTCCAGCACTAAATTAAGAGGGCAATTCTGTTTAACGCTTACAGCAATTGCTTTTCAAAACAATCTAGGTTCTCCACATCCACACCAACAAAAGCATAACGAACAACCAAAATCAGATATCAAATCGGTTTGCGGCTAACTTAGTCATAACGCAATCAATTGTATTCCGCTCTCCCCCAAAAAGTAGAATAAATTGAGAAGTTAGCTAATCACAAATCGACATTCTCATCATATTTCATCCGAATATAACTCCTAACCAGATGGAGAATGATTATTTTTCAATCCGATAAACCCTAATAAGCTATTGACGGAAGACGAGACATCGTAACAAGAAAATTAAGAATAAATATGGCCCAGATGCTTAGAGTAGAAGCATATGGAGTCATGAAGCTATAAAGACTTACCGTACGTCTTGCCGGCCGGAGGTTGTTTTCAGACGAGATAGGCGTGTGCGTGAGTTAGGTCTATGTGTACTTGTGTAGAATCTAGCAATGGTTTCTTCGTTGCAGCTTGACCAATAAACTGAAGCCTTTTTTTTTTTAATTTCTGGCTAAAAAGAGTGAGAATGTATGGGCTCATCCGAAACATTTTCTCTCAAACATGAGGTGTGTTTTTGAAAATTTTCGTCAAAACAATTTATTGATTTATTTCGGTATAATATTAGTAGTAAGTATTTTTGAGTATTTGGATAAAAAGTTTATACCAATATCAAACCGGTAATAAAAAGATTTTAAAGAAGTTAAATAATTATAACTTATAATAAGTTGATAAAAACTTTTATAGGAAAACATTATTTCAAATAAGCAATCCCAAACATCCCTTTAATAATGTTTTTTGTGTTTTTTTTCTTTTTAATATATGTATTTTTTTTTAATAGATTTGCTTGTTTATTAATATTTATAAAAAGCGAAGTTTTAATATTTTATTTTTTATTTTTGCAATATATCCAGAAATACATGATAAATCGAATAGCATCTTAATAGAATCTTAATTAGAGATATTTTACCCTCTTGTAATGCACATATAAAAACAAAACAAAATTTAATTTATTTGTAAATTTGATGAAAATGGTTAATTTTTATTATTTGAATTAAAATAAATAAATAAAATCTTAATCGTTTTAGTATTTTTAATAAGAGGTTGTTTACTTGCAGCTTAATTAGACTTATTAGTCTATCTGGCTTATTCGCACAGCTCATTTGGGTTGTTTACTTACGGCTTATTTGCACAGAACATGGCTTAATCGTACAGATAGAAATGGTGTGTTGTCCTCATTCAGCCACAAAAATGACACACCTACGGCCTACCCCTTATTTAAAGCACCGCCTCTTTCCGAGATGAGACACCCATCGTTGGCCTCTTTATGGTTTTTGGTTTTGATGCTCAAATAATTAATATTGGAGGGTAAATCGATCATTTATGTTATTCAGACTGTTGGTTCAGATAAAAAAATAAACAACAACACTCATTTATCTAGACAGACAAATTTATCCATACATGACTTAATAAAAAATTTAATAAATAACCCCTTATTCACTAAAATGAACCAATTTGGATGATACCTTACACAATATAGACATTTTTTTTATTCATAAGATAAATTTGTAAATCGTAGAATGTTGTGAAGATGGTCTCTTTGACTTTTTAATCAAATCTTTAACACTATTTAAATTTTGTTAACGGGTAAATTTGACAAAATTTGAATTGGATCCTAAAAAAAATTTATAGACCAAATCAGAAAAAAAAAAAAAAAAAAAACAATCCTCTGGCAATTTGCAAATCTATTTTGCAAAATGGATGCTTATTTATTAACACTTGGTAAGTGCAAGTGCTTACTAGTTCGATTATTTTATCGGATTAACATAATAAAGACCGGAAATCTTACTCTATAAAAGGGAAGACAAAAATTAAGAGTCTTCCCAAGTAAGTGAGGGTGATAACGCTTACTCGGTAAGTACTTATCGAGTTATAAACCTTCACTATTACTTTATTTTGATGACCAAAATATCACCCCATAAAATAAGAATGACGATTCTTAGCGGTGGACGTTCGATAAACGGTCCCTTAACGACAATATTGAAAACAAATGGTTACTTAGTTGACTATTTTGATGATTATTCTTTTTTAATATCGTTTTCATAAATTCAAATTACTTGATTATGTATTTAAATTGTCTTTTTTTTAGGCTTCAAAATTATAATAATGTGACGACTTTTATAAACATTTTCTATAAATATTAAAATATATCCAATAATTAAAAAATTTAACACCTCTTTATGAAAAATATCGCTTAAAATATGTTTTCCTTTAAGGGTTAAATACATAAAATAATAACTTATTTTTATAATTTTTTTTATTATAGTCTTCTACTTTTGTTTTTTTTTATTACAACAATGTACTTTCAAATTATTTTTTTAATTAAAGCATCGTACTTTAAAAAATCTACTCATAATAACAATGGGTTACCTATTACCCTTTAAACCGATTAACCCTTGACTTTTTTTGCTTATGTTATTTTAATAAGGTGATGTGGATGACACGTCATTTTAATGACTTAACTAAAATAAAAATAAAACCTGTTTCAAATTATTATTAGTGATTTTCGTTTTTCATTGCTACGGTCTAAAAATATATTTAATATTTTTTTGACTTTTTCTTATTAAGTTGCATGCAAATTAAATATTATAGAGTAAAATATTTTTTTAAATAAATATAAAACATCATTTTCGAGATATATTTTGTTTATAAAAAAAATAGCGCTTCTTATTTTATATTGTTCAAATAAATACATATATTTTAAATTTTTTTTTTAAATTATTAATAAAATAAATTGTGATCTATAATTTTTTAATATTGTTATATTAATAAAATTCAAAAAATCTAATTAATTTATTATATTTATATGTCAAGTAAAAGTTTTTGAAAAAAATATAATATATTATTTAAAAGATAATATTTTTTGGTAAAAAAGAAAATAATTCTTATTTTCTTTTTTCAAAAAACACATATTTTAAAAAAATATTAGCGAGATAAGTTGTCTTCTACTACTTTTATTGATACCAGTATATTAATGAATAATTTAGAATTTTTTTAATTCGTTTAATATATTTATTAAATAACATGTAAAATATACAAATTAAAAATATAATGTTTAATAAGAACCAATAGATACTATAATAAAATAATTTTAAAAGTACAATAATGTAGTAAGAAAGTGATATCATTTTAGTAGATGTGGATAATGAGGTGACATAAAAACCTGAATTTAAATCAAAAGTTTACCTAATGTTATAATGGATAAAATTTTCAAAATATAGTATCCTAATAAAAATAATTTGAAAGTAAATTACTGTAATAAGAAAAACTGAAAATACAATACTATAACAAAAAAAAATTATGAGAGTAGATTGTTATTTTATTATTTTTTATAAAGAAAAAGAATAACCTTGCGTGTTAGATATCTCCGTCGTACCAAGAGCATTGTTCTCATAACTGCACCAGCATCCCCAAATCGATCCCCCCACGCCTCCACCTCCACCACCACCACCAGATGGCCAGCTTATGGCGAGCCGTGATGGGCGAATCACCACCCAACGCCGACGACTATGACGGCGTTCAGTACTGGTCAAATCCCGAGCGCACCGGCTGGCTCACAAAGCAAGGCGAGTACATCAAGACCTGGCGTCGGCGTTGGTTCGTCTTGAAACAAGGAAAGCTCTTCTGGTTCAAGGAATCCATCGTTACCCGCGGCTCCCGGCCACGTGGAGTGATCCCAGTGGCCACCTGTCTCACAGTTAAAGGAGCCGAAGATGTCCTCAACAAGCAGTTCGCTTTCGAGCTCTCGACCCGATCCGAAACCATGTACTTCATCGCAGATTCGGAGAAAGAGAAGGAAGATTGGATTAATTCAATCGGAAGGTCAATTGTTCAGCTCTCGAGGTCCGTCACTGACAACGAGATCGTTGATTATGATAGCAACAGATGATCATTTAATCTAACGATCTCTACCTCTTTAACAATTTTGCCTGTAAAATTTGGTATGATGCTCTTTCCTTGGTTTGTATATGAATCGATAACATAATTTCTCTTGTTGGATTTAATGCCGTCACTTTTTTTTTCTCTTATCAAGTACGATATGTAGTTTTTAGGGCTTCCTCTTAGAACGTGCAATTTCTGAACTGGGCTACCAATTTTAGGGCATGATTGCCTCATAATGATGTTGTTTTCCTGATCATACTTTCTGAATTTGGCCATGGTTCCTTTCATCTATAGCAATTGGTATGGAATCTGCATCCAAATCATAGTTCTTGACTGTTACTTTGCCTGTGACTGGAGTACCTTGAAACTAGGATCATGCTCTGTAAATTCATTTTGTCAGAATTAAGAAATGCAGATCACTTTGTAGTTGTTGGGAAGGTCCTAAACATCTTGACTATTTCCCCTTGTTTGGTTCATTACTGGTTTACTTATGATATCAGTTGATGGAAGTTGCATCTTTTAGCACAAAGTCTTGGATCATCTCTCAAGTCCCTTCTTGAAAGTTCAAGGTTCCATCATATTGTAGGCTAACAAGTTGATTCAACCCCCACCTCATATGTTAATTGCCAATGGAGAAACCTGCATCCATGTAGCTGCTTGAAAACAGGGTGATGCAGTATATCTAGATAGCAATGCTCTTTAGGCTATCGGATTGTGGAGTTTCGGGGTTCACCTTAATGAGTATTGCAGGAGGGCTGTTTAATGATTAACCTGTTAGTTTGGATTATAATTGAAGACTATATTGGTCAATCTGAAGGGGGTGATGTTTAACAACTGTTTAGGAGGCATATAGATGTGGTTGATGAAGTAGATACTAGAGAGCCATTGCTCATGAAACTTGTGTAGTCTTTGGTCCACTCTCATTTCCAGTATTCACCATTTTGAAGGTTTTGCAATGCTAGCGCTAGGCTCCTAACTTCTTGGTCTTTATGCCATCACATTGTCATCCTGAAGTTGACTCCATTTTAATTCATAGACGACTCACCACTCATCTTCAAAACATCGTAACCAAGGTGGTTCTTGTGTTGGTTCGACACTGAAAAACTTGATTGTCTTGGTTCTTGTTTGTCGTCGATTTTCACCAGCAATCTATACAAACTATTAAGTGGCTGAACTTGTAATCAACTGAGAACCTACATTATGGGGGTCTTCTATTTTGATACAGGTTGAGCTATCCATTGTTCTTCATCAATTTGGTATAAAAGATTGAGCTCTTGCTCGACATCAACTCAAATAACGATATAGGAGTCTATATATATATATATATATATATATGGTTGGGTTCATGTTAGACCAATCTGTTTTCGTGAAACCCGTGAGACCATATTTTTACTATTGAAACTTCACAGCAAAAATACTGTCAAAGTTAAAAAAAGTCACCTTCACAGCATTTTGTTGTAAAGTTTCAAGTGTAAAAAGGTGGTCTCACGAGTCTCACGAAAACAGGTTGGTCTCACATAATCCCAAATCTATATATATATCAATGTAATTGGTATAACCTACCAGACAAGAAAACAGGTCCTAAGATTTTATAAATGAGCATTTCAGCAATCCAACAGAGAAACATACTCAGGTCCTATTATGAAATTAAAAGCCATTCAGATTACAGAAATTCAGTGGTAAGAGGCATAATATGATTATTCTCCTCCAATCGGGGCTTAGAACACGAAGAATAGGAAATCATATAAATAGATGTTTAGTTTGAGAAGATGGACTCATCTATCTCAATCTTCACAACTTCACCGTCGTCAAACTTGTCCTTCTTCGGCGGAGCTGGTGGAACTGGCACTCTCGGTGGTCCTCTTCCCTTCTTCTTGTTCCTTGGTCTCGCCTATCAATTCATGCATTATTGTTACAAGCTATAAACGTAACAAATCCAAAATCATAATCCTGACTGCATTGTGAAATAGGAAAACTCACATTCCCGAACGAGTGATTGAATCGCTTTCCTTTGGCAGTCTTCTTGTCCCCTCTTCCACAATAAACTGAAGCTCAAAACGACGAGATTGTTAGGTAAAACAGACTTAATCGAGGTTAAAATTGCATAAATCAAAACAACATACAAATCTAGGGTTCACGTACTCAGTGGTGAAATTGAGGTGGTTTGAGAGGACGAGAGAGACACTGACGAAGACGAAGGAGAGAGAGAAAGAGGGATGGCGGTTATGGAATGGGAACGAGAGAAAGAGAGAGAATTAGAAGCCATCGGAATAGATGTAACGGCGAGTGTCATCGACGCCATCGTCGGAAGCAGTGAGCTTTCACCAGGAGACTTCTCCGTCGTAGTGAAGATAAGAGTGCTCTCTTCGCCACTTATCCTCTGTTACATGGGAATACGTCGTCGTTATAGCTTCCCCAATGTCGTTGTCTCATTTTATTTACTTTTAGAAGGAAAAAAACTCTATTTACATATGCTTTTATAATCTTATAATTTACTTTTCTATTTTTTAGACATTTTAATAATTATATATATACTATATTATAAATCATTTGATAAAATCTCTTAAAATTATTTTTATGCATGAAATATTGTTTATTGATGCATATTACTTAAAATTTAAGATTACAAATAAATTTTGCGTAAGTATAACTTATTAAAGCTCTATTTTCGAATTCGTGTAACTAACTGCAGATAAAAATCTCATTTTAAATATAAAAGATCCAAAATGTAATTAGGATAATCGTTAAGTTCTAATAGAATATTTAACTATTATTTTTATAAAAAATATATTTTATTAAATCAAAAATAAATTACTTTGTTGTTAAACCTAAATTAAATTATGATTAAAAATTTAATTAAAAAAATTACACAAAAAAAAGAATTTTTAATTAGTTAATTTGATACGATATAATTTTTCAAAATTTTATCATATCTTCAAATTTATATTTTATTCGAAAATAAAAAAAATATTACTTTCTTAAAATCACATAAAACCGTATTATAAAGATAATGACAAAGAATAAAATGAAACATCACTAATTTTAAAAAATATCTCTTTTAATTGAAGACATTTCTTAGGAGTTAAAAGTAGGCAAATTTAAATTTTAAATTGAAGTACATAATCCCTAAAAACGAGGATAATGCGTTTAGAATTTGGAGCTGTGTTTTGGTGTGATTTGAGCACAAGCACAAAACCGTACAGGTTTGAATATTTTTCAAAATCGCAAACCGAACCACATAAACTTCAAATTGCATCGTAAAATGCAATGCGGTACATTGTGGTTTATAAAGTTTGTACCTATTGTACTTTATACTTACAATCCAATAATTATAGGTCTAAAAATACATTATAAAATTGACGATAAAGTGATCATGGTCTAAAAAATAAAGAGTTTCAATACACCCAATTCCTAAATACATATTGCATGATTAAAAATAGTATAAGAAATAAAAAGAATAAACTTCAAACTAAATTGGAGGTGTGAGTTGTGACATGTCCAACTAATTTATTAATATTGTCAATTGTCATATTGGATCAAACTCAAAGTCCAAACCACAAAGTCCAAAAATATAACATAAATAACAAATTATTCTCTCTCTCTCTCTCTCTCTCTCTCTCTCTATATATATATATATATATATATATATGTGCGTGTGTGCGCGCGTGTGTGCGTGTATGTGTGTGTTATATAAAATTAAAAAAATGTACTAAACATGCAATGCGGCACTGGTTGAACCTTGATTTGATAATTCAAAACCGCAAACAACACCGCATAGTGCGGTTTGGTAAAAATGCAAACCACATACTACACCACGAAAGTTCTAAACCGCGTTTTGTAGTGTAGAGGTTTGTGCGGTTTTTACGGTTTGGATGAACACCCCTAATAAGTACCCTTCACCAATTCATTGAATGTTTTTTTTATCAATACGGTTTAGTAAATTTTGTTTGCACCCACAAACGGAAGAATAAAACTGGAAGTGCATCAAAACTAAATCAATAACATATTATGTTTGATTCGGGTCGGATATTTTTCAAAATCAAAATTCGGTTCTTGTTGTGATTTGGTTCAAAATTGAAATTGAACTTTTTGTTAGTTCTCAAACAATTCAACTTTGGTTGTGTTTGGTACATGGGATAGGACGGGACAAAATCACCTTCCCATATTTGACACGACATGGGATATGACAGAAACTCACTGTTCCACGTTTGGTGCGACATAGGACATGAACAAGGATAGAGACTGGACGGGATAAAAAAAGATTTTTTTTGTTCCACAAAAATAGGTGAAGCAAGATGGGACAAGGTGAGATAAGAACTAAAAAAAGTACTAATGTACCGTCAATTTATATATAACCCTAATGTGGTATTTGTTTTAATGATCATCATTGTCCATCGTCGTCGTCACTGCCACCACCACCACCACCAACTACCACTGGCCACATACACTACTATAACCTCCTTCTCCACCTCGACAACCACCGTCCCCCAGCTCCACCAACACCACCTGCTCCCATTACCGCAGCTCACGACCAACTCTACCTTCACCACATCAGCTACAACTACCTCCTCCGCCGTTGTCGACCGCTGCCACCACCACTGTCCACCATCTTCACATCTTCCTCAGTCATTGTCCTCCATTGTGCCTCTTGTCCATCATCTTTACATCATCCATAATCACTGTTGTTCACCACCACTACCATTGATAAGCACTAACATCGCCCAACGCCCAATCTATCTCCACCACATTGCCAACCACCATCTTAAAATCATCCACAATCACTATTGTCACCAGTCATCACTGCCTCTACCCTATCACCATTGTCGCTATAACAATCTCCACCATGCATCCATCAGTTCATAAAAATCTTCCAAACCAAATGAAACATAGTTTTCCTTTGTAAGAACGAGGTTTGTTTTTGCAAACTATCATCAGTTATATCAAATTGTTCATTCAAATTTGGTGTTATATATATATATATCTAGGGTCAGATTCAAGGAAAACCGTAAAAAAGTTATAAAAAAAAAAATTAAGGAACGCTTTAATAACCAGCGATTAGTTCTAACCGAACGATTATTAAAAAAATAGCAATTTCAGCATTTTATTAAGTGGAAAAGGGTAAAATCGTACATTTCATTAATAGATAACCAGTTCCCTTTATTAAAATTCTTAAATAAAAGAAATTCATCACAATTTATGAAAACTTTATTTATCCTCTAAAATTCTACAAACAAAACAAAAAAATCTCTGAAGAAAATATATTCAAGACAATAGAAACAAAAATTCCAACCGATCTTAGCGCTGTATGCACATGTGAATGAATCAAAGTATTCATCGTTTTTTCTATTTTTAGGCTGCACGGACGTGTCAATGAGTCGTGTATGAACCATCCTTCATTTTCTTGGTTGAATGCACACGTGAATGAATAATCAAATTCATCTTTTTTCAATTTATGCAATGCATGCACATGTGATGAATAACTATATTCAACTGTCCTTCAATATTTTGGGTCGAATGTACATGTGAATCAAACCTCGTATTCAATGTACTTTCAATTTTTGGGTCGTATGAGCACGTAAACGATGGTTTCCTCTTATTCACGTGTGCATAAAACTCGAAAAACAAGAGTAGAATACATAAATATTTGAATCTTATTACCTATTCATGAGCATATAATCTTCAAGTGCATCAAGGTTTCTTACCCCCACAAATTAAAAACCAAAGAGAATTTGGAATCACATTGAAGCATAAACAAGAAGAGTGGGTGATCTTCTCCATTTAGATACTCTTCATATCACCGTCACCGTCATTGTCATTTTACTGTATGACAAAATAAGATTCGACCAGTCATCCATTAATTTTTACCGTAACACAATTTGGATGGAGTCTGATGCACTACACACCATTATGATCACCCTAAAATGGATGATTGGTCAAGAGAATATAAATCTCGAGAATGAAAGAGGAGAACTACATATCTTCAGGCCTCAAATCCCACCTTGATCGACGTCTTGTTCTATTCTTTCTAGCTCCGGTCAACCCTGGTTGTGTTGGCGGTGTTTCCGGTAGTGAAATTGCTTGGTTGATTGATGATGGTAATCTTATTAAATGCCACTCTTCATTATCATCACTGATCCAACCATGACATGGTTTTCTCCTTCTGGGCTGAGCATTTTCAGGCGGTGGAAGGGCTGCATCTGTGACAGGTGGTGATGGTGGTAGTGGTGGCAGCGGTAGAACAGCATCCAGAATAGGCGGTTGCGGTTGTGGTTGTGGTGGTGGAGGGATGGTTAAACGGGAAGAAGAGCAGACTGAAATGTCTGCGGGCGAGATCTCATGGCCTTCTTCACCTTCAACCTTTTCTCCCTCAACCAACTCATTCTGCATCAAGAAAATTTAATTCTTTAACCTGAAACAAGGCTCAATCCCTTTTGCCATTCTTTTTCTAGTTCCGTTTTAGCAGACCCAACTTTGTAGTCCGTGGTTGGATCTGCTAAAACAGAACGTAAAAAGAAGCGGTAAAAACGAAAACGGTCAAATCGATATCATTACCGCCTTTGAAGTCTTCCCATATGGAATTTGTTCTTGATTTTGGCCCTCGCAGTTTCCCTTTTCTTGATCAGCCAGAAGGGCTTCCAAAAGCACAGTATAGGCATCAAGTTCAATAAACCCATACCCATTTTGGCCCCCATATTCCTAAATCAACATACAGTTGCAGAACATTGGAACCACAATAATACATTTATGAACCCAAGAACCTTCTTCAAGACTCATTATTATGAGTAATACTAAATACCTTGAGGAGCTCTCGCATCTTGGCGACGACGACCTCTTCTGTGAACCCAAAAGGCGCCATTGCATCAATGGCTGCATCCATTCGAGAGGTACGAGACTGGAAGATGATTTCAAGAAACAGAAATGGGTTATCATGAAGATTCAGAAAAAGCAACATAAACATGAAGAAAAGTGAAGCGTGAGAGACCTTTCTATGTCTGGTTGCCATTTTCCTTTTACCCTTAAAGAAACTCTGTTAATCAGAGAGAGAAATGGGAAGATGGAGAGCAGGAAAACACAGGAATCCAGAACAAGAAAGGTGAAGAAACAGAGAATCATGCGCAAAGTAGAGCAGAAAGAGGGTTGGTTTTGGTCGATGTACGGAAGAGGCAGAGGAATCATTCTTATTAGGGGAAGAAATACCATGTCCCAAAATGGATCATGAAGGGGAGTGCTAATTGGGTTTTTCTGATGAAATTAAACCTCTAGAATAGATCATTTACAATTTTAATTCTAAAATTAAATTTTTTAACTAAATAGTCATCCGTTAGAATCATTAGGTGCGTACGAGTACTAAAATGCAATTTTTT